TCCTGGCCTTGTTCTGACTGATGATATTGAGCTTCTCCATCGTCTCTTTCTATAGATGTAGTCAATTTGATTCCTGTGTATTCCATCTGGAGAGGTCTATGTGAATAGCTGCCATTTATGTTGTTGAAAAAGGTATTTGCAATGAAGAAGTCATTGGTCTTGCAAAATTCTATCATGCGATCTCCGGCATCATTTCTATCACCAAGGTCATGTTTTCCAACTACTGTTCCTTCTTTGTTTCCAACTTTTGCGTTCCAATCACTAGTATTTATCAATGCATCTTGATTGCATATTTGATCAATTTCAGACTGCAGACATTGGTAAAAATCTTTTATTTCCTCGTCTTCGGCCTTAATGGTTGGTGCGTAAATCTGAATAATCATCGTATTAACTGGTCTTCCTTTTAGGCATATGAATATTATCCTATCACTGAAAGTGCTGTATGTCAGGACAGATCTTGAAATGTTCTTCTTGATGATGAATGCTACGTCATTCCTCTTTAATTTGTCATTCCCGGCATAGTAGACTATATGATTGTCCGATTCAAAATAGTTAATACCAGTCCATTTCAGCTCACTAATACCTAGGATATGGATGTTTGTGTGTTCCATTTCATTTTGGACAACTTGCAATTTTCCTAGATTTTTACTTCGTACTTTCCACATTCCTATTATTAACGGATGTTTACAGCTGTTTCTTCTCATTTTGAGTAGTGCCACATCAGCAAATGAAGGTCTGGAAAGCTTGATTCTGTCCATGTCATTAAGGTCAACTCTATTTTGAGGAGGCAGCTCTTCCCCAGTCATATTTTGAGTGCCCTCCAACTTGAGGGGCTCATCTTCCAGCACTATATCAGACAGTGTTCTGCTGCTATTCATAAGGTTTTCACTGGCTAATTTTTTCAGAAGTAGACCGCCAGGTCCTTCTTCCTAGTCTACTTTAGTCTGGAAGCTCAGCTGAAACCTGTCTGCCATGGGTGACCCTGCTGGTATTTGAAATACTGGTGGTATAGCTTCCGGCATTACAGCAACACACAAGCCCCCACTGTACAACAAACTGACAGACGTATGGGAACTGACAGAAGTGTGGGTTGTGGTGGCTGAATATAAAGTTACAACTTTATATATGCTGTCCACTAGAAATAAGCCCTTATATGTGTTTAGAAATGTATGTATATATACTTATGCTGATCTAAATTTATAAAGATCTTACAAAAACCAAACCAAACCTGTTGCCATCAAGTCAATTCCAACTCATACCAACTCTATACAGATACCTATTACATATCTATGTGGATATACACTGTAGCTGTTGACACAAATGTAGTTATAAAAGTGTAGTGCCAAGTTTTTTTCTAGATGAATAGTTCAGCATACCTGAAATATTCTAGGCAGAAAAATGGGTGAAACACTCACACATAAACAAGAAAAAAATGAAAATATCTCGTGCCATGTGTTAATGTTTCATGGAAAACTCAACACTTGGAATGTATTATATGCTTGCAAAAGTGATCTTAAGTGGGCTTTGAGTCAGTCAGATCCAGCTATCTAATTCCTGGGCTACAAGTGTAACATGTTATTGGATACATCAGGAAATAGTCATCTATGGAATATAGTTTTGAACGAGAGATAGGAAAACAAGGTTTCTGTTGAGCTTAACCACTTTTTTAGGCCAAAGGCAAGACTTTCTGTGGCTGTATTTACCTTCTCCGAGCTGCTGTTAATGGAACACAGTGGATGCTCAATAAACATTTGTTAAATGAATAATTTTCTATCTTGTTAATATAGAGTTAAAAAGAAGTTGTGTCTCCATAGGATATAAGAGCCGGGAAGGATATTATAGTTCAGCTGCTTATTCTGTGGATAAGGTACCAGCTTCAGAGCAAGTTTGATGGCACAGACCAAGTTGAGCAAGGACACAGAGCAAGTTGATGGCAGAGCTGGGACCAAGATGCAGTCCTCATCACCCCTCGAGTGTGCTTTACCCAACACCACTGATATGTCTGGCATCGCTCATGGATTTGAGAGTTTTATGTTAGTTTCAGAAGTCCAAAAACTTAAACATGCAAAGACAAATAGGATGAAAATGAGTTGAGAAATAAATTGCAGAGTTTGGCTCAAGGAATAGTTTATTTCTTCCAGGATATTAAAAGGGTCTGAGCCAAAAGGATCACAGCACCTGTAATGGGATGCACTAAAAAAAGAACAGTGTCTTTTCCTGGCCTGGATGTACTAAATTTACGTATGCTAAGGAAAACCCAGAGCTGCTGGGTTTCCTTGGAGGCCTGAGTCAGCTCTGGGAGCGAGGGGGCTCAGTGCTTCCAGCTGAACTCAGTTCTGCGTATCACACTTTAAGGGGTCAGGGACAAACCAGGAACACACTTAACCAATTGACAGTTGGGTTGGATGGGGGTGTGGAGAGATGTCTGGAAGTTATTTCATTCAAACAAGTGGTAGAACAAATCAAGATGGTTCTAACTAGAGAAGTCTCAGAGGAGAGTCTTGCTGATTCTACCTCCCAAGTATCTCTAACATCCATCACCTTGCTCCATTCTCACTGCCACTGACCTCATCCAGACCAACACCATCACCTGGATTTCTGCAACAGCCACCTAGCTGATCCTTCCTTCTAGCACTCTCCTCCCCAATTGTTTCTCCACACAACAGCTCGAGCAATCTTTATAACAGGCAAATATTATCATATACCATACCCTTACTAAGACACATTAGTGCCTTCTTGCTGCCCTTGGTGTAGATCCAAATACATCCTGATCTGGCCTTTATCCATCTCACCCCCCTCATTCATCATGCTCTAAACCCATTTAAACTCATAAAACATTATTGAGGAGGTTTTGCTCATGTGCATTATATCTATTGATAGTTACTATATTGTACATTGAAACTGAGAAACTTTTAAAACACAAGAATACATAAACCCAGACAAATGTTCACAGCAGCTCTATTCACAACAGCCAACAGGTAGAAACAATCCAAATGCCCATCAATAGATAATGGATAAACAAATGTGGTAGATCGTTGCAGTGGATTATTATTCAGTCGTGAAAAGGAATACAGTACATGCTAATACACGCTACAACATGGATGAACCTTGAAAACATGCTAAGTGAAAGAAGCCAATCACAAAAGTCACATATTGTATAATTTCATTTATATGAAATATCCAGAATAGCTAAATCCATGGAGACAGAAAGTAGATTAGTGGCTGCCAGGGGCTGGAGGGAGGGAGGTACGGGAGGAGACTGTTTAATGAGCATGCAGTTTCATTTGGGGTGATTAAAAAGTTCTGGAACTAGATAGCGGTGATGGTTGTACAGCACTGTGAACGTACTCAACGCCACTGAGTTATAAACTTCAAGATGGTTGCAATGGTAACTTTTATGTTATGTGAATAATTTACTGTGCGAGGCACAAAGTCCCTACAGCGGTCACAGACAAGTTGGATTCACTCTGTGAAAGCGTGCAAAATGTTGTCAGGTGGAAGAGACCCCCATCTTTTTCTGTGAGAAACCAAAGGGGGAATGGCTGGGTGGAAAAATTATGATTGCAAATTTCAGCAAGAAATTTCAAACAAATGGAGCTGTAACAGGGTGGCCAAGAAAATGTCTGAGCTGGTGCTAGGGAAGCTTCAGTGAGGGAGACATAGAGGGGTTTCCTGCCCTGGGTGGGAACTGGGGCTGGATGACCCTGGTGTCCCTTCCAAGTCTGACAGTCTGTGGTCCTGTGAGGCTGAACCGAAGGCTTCTCCCAGACATCCTTCTTGCTTGACATTCCAGATGGATTTGTTCAGTGTTCCTGAGTTCAACTTTCATTTTTATTTTAAGTTACTTTAGAAGATAACACAGAACAGTGCCATCATTTTTCTCCCTTGCTTTCCTGTCTGATTCCTCTCCCTTGCTTTATTCTACCTCTGGCTTTTTCTTTCCAGCTTTCTTTCTAAATATATAGACGATAAAGGAGGAGTTCTCACAAAACCTCAATGAGGAGTCAGATTCCGCTCCTTCTAATGAACTGCTGTAATAGTGTCCCCACCCAGTGACTGTTGGCATGAGCAGGTCTGCACAGGAGCAGGAGGGACTTGGGGGTGGGGTGGGGTTCTATTTGTGATTTTTTGAGACCAGGGGAAGGGTGAGATGGAAGACTGAGAGGAAAGTATGTTATGGTGTCTCTTCATCAACCTGGCTTCAGGGACCAGGTCTGAGCCATAAAGAAGAAAGATTGCAGGAGGAATTGGAATGGGAAATTTTCCATGAGCTTCCTTAAGTTCCAAGCAACACTGCACTAGGGCCAAGTGACAAAGTGCAACAAAGCACTGGACAAAAGGCATTCTCTTAATTTCTACAGAAAACTGTGGATATGGCAACGGATGTTACTGTTAGGAAGCAAGAGATCACTGGCCCCTTGTGAGCCTTGGAGACAGCCCCTCACCCCCGCAATAGGAAAGGATGTGGTCATGGGTGGAGTCTGCAACAATGGCAATCATGAGATGCTTCCTTCAGGTGTCCTGTAGGTAAATGAATCTCAGAAAGGAGGGTATATGGGAGAACTGAGAGGCAGAGTCAGGACACATGTGGGAATGCCGAGTATTTCTAGAAACAACTGAAGAAGTCTTAAAGACCACTGATGTCTTGAAGCCCGCATATGTGTATGGATGCTAATGTGACCTCATCTGCTCCCATAGGCTGTGGAGACCAGAGACATATAGAAACACGTGCACATCCTGTCTATTTAGGTGTGTGGCCTTGGGCACTTATTTAATATATCCATGCTTTTGTTTCTTGATATGTAAAGTGGGAATGACAGTGCAGATGCTCAAAAAAACTTCTGTTGAATGAATTCATGAATACTGGCCTTGAGGGGTTATCTTAAGATTAAATGAGATGGTATATGAGAAAGACCATTAAAAGTCATAAAACTCCACATACATTATAGAGTTGTTATTCATAATCTCGATCTAGTAAGTTAGCTTCCAGGCTGGCTTACCTTCTGCTTCCCGAGGGCTCCAGTGTCCTGATGGGCTACAGGGCATCGGAGAGGAGGCATTGAAGGCATACTGCACCAGGATTCTCCCTTCCAGACAAAGGTCACATGCTGGTCCCAATTCTCTAGGAGGCCAAGGAAAGAGGGAAAATGTACCGACTTAGGAACAGATGAATGAGCCACTGACTCAGCTAGGCCAAAGGCAACAGGGCAGAGGACACAATGATTCTGTTATCTCCTTTCCTCTCCACACACCCCAAAGCTTCCAGAAAATGACCGTAAGTGAAATTCCTACCCACTGCCCAGCAAGGACCTTGTTACAGAAGCCTAAATGGCTTCTATTCTGGTGGTGGATACATTTCTCTAATTTTAAGTGGAGCGGAATCAGTAGGCCAAAGACTTACTACCTGCATAACCTTACCTTTATAAGGCATGAAAAGCTCCATTGGGAATTTGCTGTGTGGTTGTGAGAAAACCTCTTGCCCCATTTTGTCCTCCAAATTTACGCCTTTAGCTATATTTATCAGGTGCCTACCATGTACCAGCTGCCATCCTGTGCCCTCGACATTAAATACGAAGAAAGCATGGTTCCTTAGGCTGAAAAATGAGTGAGCTGGACTAGATGATGCCTAAAGAAGCTTCCAGCCCTGACATTCAGGGATGGATGAGTCACTGTTAGATTTAACAGTCAAAAGCAGTTTCCTGACCATGCCATCTAATTAATTTTTGCAGCTTTCCAAGCGGTGAGCCAATCCCTCAATGGGACCAGCCCCAGAAGTGGAATATTATGGTGGCTTCCTCCACTGTCTTTTGTATCTGGATTCAATCTCCCTTTGGCCACAACAGCTTCTGGGATCCTACTTGTTCTCCAGACTTGGCATCTGCTTAGGAGGCAATTGCAGGGAGGGGAGATGGATGAGTCCTCTCCTCCTGTACTACTGTGCACTCAAAACTGCAAATCTGAGCCACCTCTGCAGAGGAGCTGGCAGCTGAATCAGGGGAAGATGTCAAGTAATGTCTCAGCCCAACCCATTATGTCTCAAAATGCAATGGCTTTGCCGTTTCCACTCTCTTCATTCCTAGAAGAATTTCTATCCTTTGGCTACCCGAAAGGGTGCAATGGAGGATCCTTGTCTCCAACCCTAGGGCTTTCCCTTCACAGGGAAGTTCTTATGCCCCTGGGATAACATGGGGAGGAACAGCCTGTTGTGAAAATTGCAGTCTGCTGGTTCCTGCCATCCCTCCTTCACACAGTTAACCAGGGAAATCATCTCAATGCCAAATCTGAACAGGTCATGTCACTGCTTTCCTCCTTTGGTGACTCTAACCCTTTATACCCTGTGACATAATATTCAACACCCTTTGCAAGCTGCTCCCCTTATCACTCTAGCCTTATTTCTCATCACTCCAAGCTATTCCCAACTGCCAGGCTCTGCCATGACCCTGCGCCTCTCTCTCAACACTCTTCTGCCTATAATGCCCTTTCCCCCTTTTTTTGTGAAAACTATTATATCTGAAAACAATGGGAAGCTACTAGAGGGTTGTAAGGCATGGAGGGACATGACATGATTCACATTTTAGCAAGATTAGCTGGATGCTGAATGAAAAATGATTGGGGGGGAAGAAGCAAAAGTGAAAGCAAAGGCGGCAACTAAAAAACAATGATGTGATGCTAGTTATGGCAGGTAAAGTCCCCATTTTACAGATTAGGGAACTGAGGTTCACAAGCGCAAAGTAATTACCCTAAGCTCATAGCTTGGAAAGTTAGAGTCACCTTGTGCCTGGATGGTGTTCCTCATCCTTCAAGGTTTCCCTTGGACATCATTTCATCAGTGAGGACTTTTCCGTAGATAGGTGAGTTTTTCTCAATAGACTGTGAAGTCCTTGGGGGCAAGGTCTATGTCTTATCATTGTCTTTCCCCTCAGCAGCCAGCACATAGCTTTTTACATAGTGGTGATCAACACACATTGTTGAATGGAAAAATGAATGAATGAATGAATACCAGTCACTCAGACACACTGCTAATACTCATGATTAACCTAGTCCAGACCTTCAAATTGCAGATTTTGTTTCCTCAGCCTTATCAGTGTAAGTGTGAGACTGTACTTAGGTAAAATATTTGCAAGCACAATAATATTCAGCGTTAGTAGAATGATTAAATAGCCTACGGTTAATCTGTTCAGTGGAATGGTAAGCAGCTATTACAGTAATATTTACGAAGATTATGCAATTGCCTGGAAAATATGTATGCTATAATGTTAAGTGAAAAACTCGTATTCAAAACTGAACCTATAGCAGTATCTCAATGCTGTTCAAGTAACTTTATGCAACAAAATATTATTGACAGTTAATTCTGGGTAGTGGAAAAAAGGATAATTTTTCTCCTATTTTTATTCTTTCTAGATTTTTGAATTTTCTACATATTGTAAATAAGGATGAGTTCCTCTTGGACTAGTAATTGTAAAATCATACAAATAGACTTGTAATCAGGAATGAGCGGTGGAGAGAGACTTCCTCAGCACTCCTACTGAGGGCAGAGTTCCATTACGATGATCACAGTCCATGCATAGCAATTTTGAGTCACATGACTGGCTTTATGATCACCATGAGATTATAAATGTCCTGCAATTAGGAACCATGCTGACCTCAATGGAGACTGAAACTTTTTTTTCTACTTCCTTTCGATGTTCTATTTTGTGTGGTACCCATAAAGCTACCTGTACTTTATTGAATTTTTAGCTGGTCCTAGGTTCCCAATAAATACGTTTATGAGTGAATATAACATCATCCAGCTGAGAATAACATGTCTTGTTTGCATAGAGTTTCACAAATTACGTTCCCTCTTATTCATTCATTGATTTTTGTATTCGTTTCATCTATTCATACAACAGATAGTTACTGAGGAGTCTCTGGGTGCTAGTACTGCTCAAGGGCTAGACACTGACCATACAAAAATGAAAAAACAAACCCATTGCTGTTGAGTCGATTCTGACTCATGGTGACCCTATGTGTGTCCATAGGGTTTTCAGTGGCTAATTTTTCAGAAGTAGATTTCTAGGCCTTTCTTCTGAGGTACCTCTGGGCAAACTTGAACCTCCAACCTTTTGGCTAACAGTTGCATGAGCACATGAACCATCTGCACCACCCAGGGACTCCCATTGACCACACAGGGGTAAGCAAATCAGATATGGTTCCTGTCCAAATACAGCTTGCAGTCCAGTGCAGGTAATGGTCAATAAGTAAATAAGCAAACATATATAAACTTACAGATTGTGATAAATTTTAGAAGGAAAGTAAAGGGATGAGAATAATGGGGTGGGCTGGGCTAATTAAGATTGGAGTGGTGATGGAAGGTCTTTGTGAGGGGATGCCATTTGCACTGGGGCCTGAAGAATGGCACAAAGAATAGATGTTAAGGCATTCCAGGCAGTGCTTCTAGGAGCCTAAGCAGAAAAAAATGGCTTGATCCACAAGGGTTTTGAAAGAAGCCTGGGTGGCAGGAGCTACAAATGAAGGGAAGTGGTAAAAGAGGTAGTTGGATAGACAGGTGAGGGCTGGGTCATGACAGATTCTGTAGACCCCATTTAAATTATATCTGAAAACAATGGGAAGCTGCTAGAGGGTTGTAAGACATGGAGGGGCATGACCTGATTTACATTTTAACAAGATTAGTCTGAATGCTGAATGAAGAATGATTGGGGAAGAAGAAGCAAAAGTAAAAGCAAAGGCGGCAACTAAAAAACAATGACGTGATGCTGGTTATGGTGGGTAATGTCCCCATTTTACAGATTAGGAAACTGAGGTTCACAAGTGCAAAGTAATCACCCTAAGGTCATAGCTTGGAAAGTCAGAGTCAGCTTGTGCCTTATGAAAATCAGGGACTGTAGCTACACATTCAGGGAGTACAATATGTGTTTTCTACCTTTGGTGTTTATTTGATTTTTATGGGTACCTGTCACTCACACACGTACACACAAACACACACACTCATACACACGTGAGTAATGAAATCAAAGGTGCACAGGATGTAAACACTGGGAGAGATTATCTTTCTCAAATGAGATTCTACAAGAGAGCTAAGGCTGAAAGCTCTAAAGTTGCACTGCCCAACAATGTAGCCACCAGCCACATGTGCCTATTTAAATGTAAATAAATTAAAATCAAATAAATTAAAAAATTCAGTTCCTCAGTCACACTAGCCACATTTCAAGTGCCCTGTAGCCGTCGGTGGTTAGTGGCTACCATATTGGAAAGTGTAGATATACAACATTTCTATTATTGCAGAAAATTCCATTGGCTAGCACTGCTCTATGAGTTAGAATGGCCTCGGTGACACACACAACAACAAGGTATCTACCGTACATAATGAATTAACTCCTCTCCTATACATCCAGAATGATACTAGTTATGTTAGTTAGTTAACTTCTATGCATCCTTGGGAGAATTGAGAAAATAGTCACTCAAATCATTTTCTGTGTTCTGAGAATTGAAAGAGGAACATTAGCTGAAAGGCTAGAAACGCCTTTGGCTTACAGGTAGAAAAACTGAGGGTGAAGAGACACAGGAAATAGATGGGGTCACAAAGCCCTCAGAACTAGGTCACTGGATTCCCAATCCAGTGCTCTTTCCAATACACCACAACCAATTGTTCAGACAACTGAAACAATCCAGTCAACACATGTTTGCAAGACAGATAAAAATAAAGGAGTTAGAAAAATCAGGGTGGCCTTGAATTATTTATCCAGTTGCCCATGTGTGAGGACACAGGCTGTGGGAGGATCTGAGTATGTTTTTTTAAGGAAAACCCTTGTATTCTCTTAGACCACAGATGTGAGGAACAGCAGGAGGACATGAGGATGGCCAGGGGTGAGAGGTTGGCATTGATGGATGTAGTGGAAAACACCAGAGGTTTTGCAGGGAAAGAGAATTTTCAAGTAGCTAAATAGCTCTGGAAAACTTTGCACAAGATGAAAGTAAATATTTCTTGACTGCCGAGTGTGTGACAGTGGTGCTGGGCATATCACAGATGTCATCTTGTCGAACTTCCTACAAAAGCCAGGTGAAGTGGGCACGGTTAGCACCTTTTTAACAGAAAAAGACTCAGAGGATCAAAGAGGTGAGATGTCTTGCCCCAGGTCTCATAGTCTGGGAGTGGTGAAGCTGAGAATGGAACACAGAGAACCTGACATCAAAGCTTGCACACTTTGTACTAAGCCAATTTGCATGAGTATAAACTCCGTGTGCATGGGAGAGTAATATACATAAAATGCAGTTCCATTTCTTTACAACAATTTATTGAACTTGTGGACCGGCTTCCTTTAGCCATAGACTATGGTCGACGTAGCTGTTAAGCTTAATTAGACATGTTTCTAAAATGTCAGCTTTAATTTAACATATGATAACTCCGTTATGAAATCTTAGACTGAACAGAATAGCTATTGTATGAGCCTCAAGTACCAACTGACTATAGGTTATTAAAAACATATTGATTGAGGCTGAGGGCACTATGTGATAGAGACGTATCTCGTTACACAACAATTAACCCTCCAATAACTGGACAATAACTGCTTTATGAAATACAAATTGAATACATACACAGGACGTTTCATTTACAAAACTTCCATTTTTAAGTGGAATTGAGGCCAAGGCTTGACCCAAAGTCTGATACTTCTCATCGCCACAGAAAAAATAAATAAATTTAAGGGCTGCTGGAAAGTGTCACATGAGGTTTCCCAAACCCAGCTCGGAGCTCCCAGTGAGGGCAGCTTGAGGCAGGGAGAAGGGGGGTTTCTGCAGTGGGCCTGAGGAGTGCATTTCCTTCTCCCCCTGTGATCGCACTCACCCAGCTGCCAAATCAAAGTTCTAAATTCAGGGACTCATGGTGGTGTGAGAAATTAGAGCCCAAACTTAATGTAGTACCATGCGCTAACATATTTTTATACGGACACGCACACACACGCACATGCACACAAGTGTGTGTATACACGAGAGCTTCTTGTTATCCTTTTGTGGTTCTTTTTAGGGGAGGGGGAACGCCATCATAACTCTGATTTTGGAAGGACTTAATGAAAGCACATGCCAGTCAGAGCCCAGCCCCCGCCACTTCCTATGGGCTCTTAGTCAAGTCTGTCAGCCTCTTTCAGCTCCAGTTTCCTCCTTATCTGGCAAATGGGGAAGATGATTCCCCTTTTATAGTGTTATTGGAAGGATTAAATGAAACCCTGTCTATAAAGCATTTAGTACAGAATCCAGCACAGAGGAAGCACTCGATAAATGGCAGCAACCGCAACAACAGAATAATACTAACTAATCATTACTATGGTTGTTACTTTCATCCCATCAATGTTATATCATCATTATTGGATAAAAGATCCCCAAGATGCTCAGGAGGAAGTTGCAATATACCAACATGCCCTCAATTATAGTTAAGTTATAAAATAGATGTAAATGTTTTAGTCTGTTTTCACGGCCCTTTCAAATCTTGTTCTCTTAAAGCTTGAGCTTTTGAAGAACTACCGATGCTGAAAGGTACCACAAGAGACCGTTTAATTTAGGTCTCTAACTTCAGGTCACTGAGGCATCGTTAGTCCCATTTTTCAGGGGAGAAGACTAAGACTCAGGAAGGGACAGTAACATGTCCAAGGTCATACAGTTCGTAGGTGACAGACAGGAGAGTAGAAATGAGGTAACTTGTACCTCAGTTTTTCACTCTCTGATCTTCTAGATATCCTACCTTCAGTTCCTCAGACAAACACTGGGCACAGGCAAAGATTCTGAATCTGTAAGTACATGTATGTACGTATGTGTGTGTATATATATGTATATAAGTATACTTATTATAGATATACGTATATATCTACATATATATATATATATATATATATATATCTCCCACTGCCATTGAGTTGATTCTGACTCATAGTGACCCCATAGAGTTTCCAAGGCTGTGAATCTCTATGGAAGCAGACTGCCACATCTTTCTCCCACAGAGCCACTGGTCATTTCAAACCGCTGACCTTTAAGTTAGCAGTTGATTACTTTAACCACCAGGGCTGCTTATGTATATGTAGTAATACACACACACACACACACACATGGGTGTTTGCCCATGAACCACTGGCAATCTTAACTCCTGAGCTCAGGGAGACGAAACCAGACCCTACATCCCAGAGAGGTTTCTATCAATACACGTTTCCAAACTTTTAGTAATAAAGGAAAGCTAATCATTCATTCATTCATTTAAAATATGTATTATTACTTATTAATTAATCATTCTTTTATTCTCTGACCCAAAAGTTACCATGTGTGTACCAATCACTGTGCTAAGTGGTGGCGATATCCACTGAACAAGTACAAGAACAAAGAAAACAGCAAAATCCCTCTCTAAGGCTGCTTCTCTTCCAAATTTCCCTCCTCTTGGCCGGAGAGAGAGAGAGCTGCCAACACTTCACAGGCCACACTCACCTTTCAAAGAAGTGGCCATCGATGGGTGGAAACCACTCCAGCGTCACAGAGTCTGTTGTGTGGCCCACAATCTGGGGGGCCAGGGCGACAGGCGCAGGCTTCCTGGAGGGCTGCCAGCTCTGGTACACCAGGTCCAGGTAACAGTGCATTCTGGCGACTTGATTGGGCGTGAAGGAGTCAGTACAGTCGTCATCTGCAAGCAGGCAGAGGGAGAGATAAGAACTAGGCTGCAAGGGCGGGCATGTGAGAGAATCATGACGTCTCTCGGTGTCCAGAGAGCCAGCACCCCAGCCCTTGCCAGCTCAGGGCTGGCCTCTTCCCATGCTTAAGAGTTAATGATCTGTGAACAAATTTGTGTAGTCATCACTTCTGGAGACAGGTGAGATGGAACAGGAAGAAGGGGAGGGTGGATGGAACAGAAGAAGAAAGCCTGAAACTCAGGCAGAGGGAATGGCAAAGGATAAGGGCAAGACAAGCTGCTTTCCATGGGCCCCAAATCCACCCATTCCCTTATTCCTTCTCTCCTTCACCACTCATTATTATCTATCATTTATTCATTCACTTGCTTATTCACTCCTCAATCATTCATTTATGAACTCATTTGTTCTCTCACTCATTCCTTCACATTTATTCATCCACAAATTCATTAATTCAGCTACTCACTGATACACTGATATTGTCCTTCAAGTTAACCTTCGGAGCATCTACTACATATTCTGTGCCCTGTGCCAGGGGGCATGGGAAAATGAAACTTAAATAGTCTGCACCCTTGAGGAGCTACTAGTCTAGTTATGGAGTTAAGACTAGTTTATTGTATGAGTCAAGGTTGTTATAAGGCTGCTAAAGTCTGTGAGGCCAACCACTGCTGAATGAAAGGAGACAGCATGCAGTGAAAGGAGAGTGCACAAGAAGGGCTTCCAAAGAGGGAGGTATCTGAGGTAAACCAGATTGCATGGCTAAGATTGGGCAAAGTTGTTGATGGATTACAGGAAAGGGAATCTGCAGGAACACGGAGGCATGCTTTCCTATGCAAAGAGCACTAGCCAGAGAGTCAAGAAGACAGGAACACTCCAGGCTCTGTCACATCTCAACATCCATGCTGGGAACATGAGGACAATAATATCTCCTGCACAGTACTATTATAGTGAGGGTTATGTTACAGGTAACATTTATTGAATGCTTACTGGGAGGCAGATACGGTGCACTTTGTTTTGGGCACATTTAACCCTCACACTGTTTTGGGAGTAAATATTATTATTTTCTCCATCTTACAGATGAGGATACTGCGGCTGAGAGAAGGCAAGCAATTTTTTCAAGGGCACAGAGCTAGCGTCAGATCTGCAATTCGAACCCAGGCAGTCCTGACTCCAGGACTGTGCTTCCGATCAACAGAACTTCTTCTGAGCTTGTATGGATAAAGTATCCTGCAGGTGCCTGATAAATGTGAGCTGACCTGAGTCTGAGAGGGGGCTGGAACACAATCTCTAAGATTTCGTTAGATCTTCAATCCTACTCTCTCTTTTCTAAGATCCAGACTGAAGGCCACGACCCTAGACTCAGGCCCCAGGGAAAGAGCTTGCCTCCCATTTCACCTCTCCCTACAGCAGCTTTATTCAGCTGCCCTAGGGGCAGGGCAAGGCTCTGTTTTGGCTTGGTTTCCAAAAACACCACTTCCCAGAGGTGTCCACCTGGCCAGGGCTTCTGCAGCTGGGCCCCAGATGGAGGAGCACAAGGCTGTCCGGATCTGAAAATAAACTCGCCACTGGGAATCCTCCAGCACAAGCTCACTTCCCTTATCAAATAAACAGAAAATAAGTTTGGGCAGGTGCTGGGCATTTGGACATGGCCTTGAGAATCCAGCTTGGGGAAGGGGCAGGGGTGTGAGGGAGGTTACACACAGAAGCTGCTTCTGATCCCCTCAGTAATTTTTGACAGTCTCCTTTCCAGCATCCTGGGGACTTCTTGGATCCCTAGTGGTGTAGCGGTTAAGAGCTTGGCTGCTAACCAAAAGGTTGGCAGTCTGAATCCACAAACCGCTCCTCAGAAACCCTATGGGGCGGTGCTACTTTATCCCATATCGATGACTATGGGTCGGAATCAACTTGATGGTAATGGGTTTTTCTGGTTTGGGGATGTCTTTAATATATCTGGAGGAAGCAAAACAGACTGATGTCCCTTCATAAGCCCTCTAAAAGAGTGACTAAAGGCATAAACCTCCCTCAAGCCCAGATTCTACCATGTAACTCTTTGAAACCAAACATTCTGTGGCTCCCTTTTGCCTGGAGAATAGCCTCCAAACCCCTCAGTCTGAGAAGGGCCAGGTCATCAGGCACTCTTTTCTATGTGACAGTGAACTTTGCACTTCATCCTGAAATCCTTGGAAAAGCCACTGAATGGATTAGTTGCAGGAGAGGGGCATGCTGGCCAAGGAAAGATGGCTAGGTGGTTAGATTAGTGCCTGCAGGATGTGGAGTCAAAATGGGCAGGCCATTTCATGTCCTCAGTGCCTTGTTTCCTCATCTTTAAAGTGGAGACCATGATGGTAATAAGAGTGCGCATCTCAGGAACTAAGGACAAAGCCTGGTCCATGCTTAAGTGCTCAATAAACACTGTCTTGTGATTAGGAAAACTTTGTGTGTGCCTGAGTATCTGTATCTGTGTGAGTGTTGGAAAACTGAAAGCAGGAGGAGAGGAAAAAAAAAAAAAAAACCAGAATGCAAAATATGCATTCTCTTTAATCTAGTAATACCACATTTAGGAATTCAATTGATAGACACTCATGGACAAGCATGGAAACAATACTTGTACAGAGATGTTTATGGAAGCATTATTTATAGCAGTAAAAATAATAGAAATAACATATATGTCTAGTAATAGGGTCATGGCTATGTACTTTAAGGCACAGACATAAAATAGAATATTAAACAGGCGCTATAAAAAAAAAAGGTAACTTTAAGATTTGGTTCTCACATCTATAGATTGAGACATTTAAATCAACTCCACACCCTAGTGTTGTTGTGAGGATTCAACAAACTCATCAGGATGAACTGTGAACAGAAACTGCAGTTGTCGTTGATTTTCTCTATATACTCTGATTCATTTCCTTCCCTTCCCCACCAATGAAGTGTATTTTCATTCTATAACTTAACAATTAGTCATTTCCATGTTTGTCAATATGAAAGGATTTGAAAAACAGGTAAGTGGTAGAACTTCATAAGGAATGAGGAATGTACTAGGACTTTAAAGCTGAAGCCAGAGGAAGGTCTGTTCCATGGCACATCACTTAGAGGCTTAGCTGCTATCAGAATCCTGCGTGAGGTTCCAAAGGGTTACCATTTATCACAAATGCTCTGTCTCAATTAGCTAGCGTCTAGAGTCAGCCCCCTTGGCTTCCTGCCCCCACAAGCCTCCCCTCCCGACATTCACAGCCACTTGATCACAGTCTCCAAGCGCAGCCAGCCCCAGTCTTCTGTCCTCAAGGGCTTTGGGGACTTTAGCACTCCGGAAGCCTGCCGGGGTCCCCATGCTGTTGATGCAGTGCCTTGGCTTTGCTAACTAAGCCTTGTTCTCATGAACGAATTTCCATCTGTATCTGGCAGGGCACACAGCATGGAGGTTCAAGGGATAGACTAGGCGCCTCCACTCTCTGAAGGATGTTGGCAAAATGCTTACCCCTGGAAGCCTCATTTTCATTCACTCTAAAATAGGGAATAATGATGTTGCCCACCTCATAAGGCTGACGAAAGCATTTAACAAGCTAATCCATGTGTGGGGCATGGATAAATTAGCTTCCCTTCGTACAAGTCCTTGCCTTTTTGTTGTGTTTAAAATAACGATGATGATAAATGATCATGGGAGTTATAGATATTAATTATAGAACATTTGGAAAATGCCAAAAATAATTACTAAGAAATAAATGGCACCCTAAACCTATTACCTAAAGATAATACAATTAATATTTAATATACATGTATAGGTACGTGTACATCTGCAGTGAGTTTCTATAGTTCTTGTCATCATATACATCTATCACATACATATATACAGGTCTTATACTATGTATAAGATTTTGCAGCCTCTTTTTACATTAAATAGTTAGCAAATAATTCCACTAGTTGTCATTTTATTGAGCACTGATTATTGACCAAGGCCAGTGCTTTTGGTTTACCTGTATGATTATACCTACTACCACACAAGCTAAGTATGATTATCCTCCATTGTACCAATGAAATAACTTACTGAGGGTCAAAAAGCTAGGACATGGAGGATTTAAATTTGGTCCCCTCACTCCAAAATTAATGCTCTGAACCACTACATTACTCTACTTCTGCTCATATCCCTCAATGATCTTTCACATCATCTTCATTGGCCACATAACATTCTATAATACGGATGTCCCGTGATTTACTTCAGTAATCCATTATCGCTGGGCATGTAAGCGTTAATTTTTCATACATATAAACATTTCTCTTTTATGCATGGCACATAGTAAATGCCTAAAGAGTATCTGAGGAAAGAACATGGCTAAGAACATTCTTAAAGCTAAATCCTTAAACACATCAACTTTAGAACATATTCCTTGGAGGAAGAACTGCTACATCAGAGCACATGTGTACGTTAAATGGTTCTAACACACAGAAAGATGTTAACAAAACACGCTCGCACCAGCTGTAGAAGGCCTTGACTGGAGGGTCCTCTTGCCTGGCCCCCTGTGGTCTATTATCTTCAGGAAGCAGAGTCTGGGCCGCTGCCCTCCTATCTGCCGAAGAAGGCTTATTCAACAGCTCTGCATGACCATACTCTACTGGTAGTTTGTCTGGCCTGCTGAACTAAGCTTGCTCCCATCACCTGCCTGGTGTCTTCTTGGTCCGAGTGCTTGAGATCTTTTCAATCTCCACCCATATAGGAAACTGAGGCAGATAATTACTGGTTAATAACATGGGTGCTGGAGCCCTGGTGGCACGGTGGTTAAGAACTCAGCTGCTAACCCAAAGGTCGGCAGTTTGAATCCACCAGCCGCTCTTTGGAAACCTTATGGGGCAGTTCTACTCTGTCCTATAGGGCTGCTATGAGTTGGAATTGACTCTATGGCACCCGGTTTAATATAGGCACTGGAGTAAGAAAGACTTGAGTTTGAGTCTCACCTCTGCTTCATTTGATCTGTGTGACCCTAGGCAAGTTACTTAAGCGACGTGAGTCCTACTTTCTGCATCTATAAAATGTGTGTGATAATAATAGCACTGACCCATTGGGTTGGAGTCCCTGGATGGTGAAATTGGTTAACATACTTGCTGCTAACCAAAAGATTGCTAGTTTGAGTCCACCCAGAGGCACCAGAAAAGAAAGGCCTGGCGATCTACTTCTGAAAAAAATCAGCCATTGAAAACCCTGTGGAGCACAGTTCTACTCTGACACACATGGAGTTGCCAGGAGTCAAAATCAGGTGAAGACAACTGATCTTGGTGTTTTTGGTTTGACCCACTGGGTTATTTTGATGATTCAGTGAGATAAGCTTATGAAGTATTTCATACAGAGTCTGGGATATTACTGGCACTCAATAATTACTGTAGATCTGTGCTATCCAATGGAAACCTTGGTGGCGTAGTGGTTAAGAGCTACGGCTGCTAACCAAAAGGTGGGCAGTTCAAATCCACCAGGTGCTCCTTGGAAACCCTATGGGGCAGTTGTACTTTGTCCTTTAGGGTCGCTATAAGTCAGAATCAACTCGGCAGCAACAGGTTTGGTTTGGGTTTTGGTGCTGTCCAATATGGTAGCCACTATCCATGGGTGGCTACTTAAATTAATTAAAATTATTTGAAACTAAACATTCAGTTCCTAGGCTGCACTGGCCATATTTTAAGTCCTCAGTAGCCATGGGTGGCAAGCGGCTACCATACTGGTCAGTGCATATACAGAGCATGTCCATCTTTGCAGGAAGTTCTATCGGACAGTGCTGCACTAGACCTGACTAGTGACCAGTCCAATTGGGAAGAAAGCACCCAGGAAGGAAAAACGACCGGAAGAAGGTCGCTGGCAATGTCCTCGCCCTCTCGCCTTGACTGCAGGAGCCCCTCTGTATCCCTCTCTCCACAGCCTGAGAACCTGATCCTGTTCTGCATTTTGAATTTCATCCAGCTGCTTTTGTCACCTCATCTATCAGAGATCCTAAGGAAAACAAACATTTCAAAGCTCGTGGTCGCCTTGAATATGCTTTTGCGGGTGTAAGTTTGTTATCGTAGCTCAGTGAATTAGTTCTGCTGTTAATGGGTCACTGAGCTGAGGGGTTCCTTTAAAAAAACAACAGTAAATCAATCACCCTTTAGATCTGTACAAAGGGGAACAAAAAGAAAAAATAAAAGATTTAGTTTATGGGGGTCTGGTAGCTAGTGGCAGCTCCTAGGCCCCTAAGAGGCCGGCAAACTTCCAAACTCATGTTATTGTTTATTTTCCATGTGCGCTGAGCTGGCCAAGGAAAGGTGCTACAGAAATGGAATGTAAGCATGCCTGCGGGAGGGGCCAGGGCACCGGATGTGGGAGGTCTGCTGGTCGGGAAATGGGAGCTCAGTGAGAATCAGCTTTTGAGGAAATACTCAGCACCCTGATCTTTTTTAGAGACTTAAACCTAATGCCTCTTTGTAGTGCCTGAGGTGGGGTGTGGGCCGTTCCAGAGACTGCAGGTTTGAACTGCATGAGCCTGATGCTGCAGAAGCTCTCAGAGGTCGCCAGCCCCAGTGGGAAAGCAGGAAGCCCCATTAGGGATCACTGGATCCACTGGGTTTTAGGAATGAAATCGTTTCTTCAAATAAAATCTGAGGCAACAGGGTTTAAGCAGGGTTAGGGGCCGAGAGGCCCACTCATACAGCCACCCTGTGCAGCCTCCTGAGGCATCTCTGTGGAACATGATTTGAAAACCACCCAGGTTGCTCCATTCCCCACTCAACCGTCAGTTAGGTCTCTTCTGAAGAGTGGCACAAGAATAGAAGGGAAAAAATTACTTGGAGTCAGAGCCCTTAGGTCTCAGTTTCAGCTCAGCCATTTATGAGATATGTGACCTGGGGCAAATGACTTCGCTGAGATTCAGTTTTCTCATCTGTAAAATGGGAATAATCCCTACCCCATAAACTTATCGTGAGAATTAAATGAGATGGTGAATATCAAAGCACTTATGAACAATACATTTTTGTACAAGTGAAAATACTGTTATTGATAAGAATCAATTTGATATATCCGTTATAGTAGAATTGGTTCATTTTTTCTTTCGTCTCTCCCTACGTTCCTCCCTTCCTTTCTAAAAAACACATTCATTAAGCACCAGGTCCTGTGCTAGGTGCTAGGAATATATAAAATGCAATCTGACTTTACAGAATTCATTGTTCTAGTGGGAGAAAGAGACAGCTAAACTGGATATTGTCATAGAATTCAACGCTGGGCTATCATATACAATTGCGCAGATTGTGCTGTACACAAGGATTCTTGGCTGAAGAGGCTAGTTGTGAGGTCTGTGAGTGCCCAGGGGAAGAGGGTTCTTTTACTAGTTTGTCAAAAGTGCTATATGGCCTACAAGTGGCCTTTATGTAAAATGCTAAAGAGGAGCATAGGGCATCCTAGAATGCAGAGATGAGCCCTTAACACTGTCACTGATGGTCTAAAATGGCTTTGATAGGATATAGGTAGTTAGGGAAAATACATATGGAATCTCATGTAATAATCGTGTATTTGCAAAACCAGACATAGTCTACTTATTTTTTAAAGGGTGCGAGAGTGTTATGTTTATCTAAACCTGGGCTAAAAAGAAAAGAAAACAAAACAAAAAGTTCAACTAACAGCTTCAAAAAACATAGCTTGAAAACTAGAAGGAACCTTGGAGATCAAGTCTAAAGATTCCATTTTCTTGAGAAAAGTGAGACTAGAGAGGCTATGTGATAGATCCAAAGGCATTAGGTTACACTGAAGCAGAGCTAGGTCTTTCACCTGGGTTTCCTGACTTTTGGTCCAGGTCGGCTTACAGCATCCTAAAGTGTGCCTTTCTGAAGAGTTTTCAGATTCAACATCTTCTTTGAATCTCTGAGGGGCTCACAGAAGGAACATTATTCCCATTGTTTGGGGTGAGAACGTCTCAGTCTTAGGAAAGTTAAGCAACTTGCTCAGGGTTACCTTTGCAGGAGGGACCAAAGCCAGGACTGGGGCTCACAGCTGACACCCAGCCCTGTGCTCTTTCCAGTGCCTTGCTCTGCTGTCTGCCCATCGCCCTACAAGCAAAAACCCTGCAGAGAAGAGGGCCCTACCTGCATAGCTCATGAAGTTGTTGTAAGGAGTGTTGAAGAAGCTATGAAAGCCACAGGTGTCATTCCCTGGCCCTGGGTCCCCGCAGAACTTGAGTTTTGGGGCTGGGTTGGTGTCACTGCAGAGATCTCCAGTCTCAAAGGAAGGTTCTGTCTCCATGCAGGGGTCACTGCAGGACTGGATTTCTGAGATGCCTCGGAAGACGTGATAGAGGCCCAGGCTGTGCCCGATCTCATGAACCATGGTGTGGGTGTGCCCAGAAATGCCGTAGAAAGATGGGTTCAAGACAATGCCACCTGCAAGGGAAAAGCCAGAGGGTTAGGCAAGCTGAGCACCCTGCTTCCTGATGCAAGAACCCCTAAATCAATCAAGGGTAAAAGGGGTGCTGTCCAAAACAACCACAGGCTTCTCCACCCTATGACTCCACTGCCCAGGAGCTGTTGTGACTTGTGACATGAATCACGGCTTATCAGAGTAAGGAGGCTCAACAGTCTTCTTGTGCAATCCCTTCCTTTTTCCGATGAAAACACTGATGCCTACGGAGATGAGTTGACTTACCCACAGTGATTTCCAACTATTTACAAGGACAGTATAATTAGAACTCAGGGATTGTGATTCCTGGGCTGGTAAACCTTTCTGTTGAAACTTTTTTTCTTAGAAAACAAGAATATCCTAGTCCACTAACATTCTACACACTCTTGTGTCAGACACCTTGGGTCCCAGTTTTAATTTGGCTTCACCTATCTTCTGACATCAAGCAAATCGTATCACTGAAATGGAGCTGATAATCTATGACAGGGAACTCTCAAGAAGGTCGGCGCCATGTTGTGCTCACCATCACAACAGTGAACATAATCGGTCATGTTTCTTGAGAGTTTAACTCTATACCCTCAGGCCCGGTGTTAAGTATTTCATGCGTATAATCTTGCTTAATCATCTCACAAACCAATGAGAGATGCTGTTTCTCAGAGGAGTGAAGTAACTGGCTCATGATTAGATAGTAAGTGTAGAGTTGAAATTTGAATCCAAGACCCTTTCTTAACCTGAGTTCTACTGCTAATGTCTAACACACAAACACACACACAAAACAAAAACTAAAAGACCAGTCACTGTTGAGTCAATTCCAACTCATGTCGAGCCTATTCGTGTTAGAGTAGAATGTGGCTCCATAGGGTTTTTAATGGCTGGTTTTTCGGAAGTAGATCACCAGGCCTTTCCTCTGAGGCACCTCTGGGGGACTCAAACTGCCAACCTTTCAGTTAGCTAAGTACATTAACTGTTTGTACCACCCAGGGACAACGCCTATCACGGGGCCTGAAATATAGCATCCCATTAAATGTGTTGAATATTTGCTCAATGCTAACTCATCTAACGAGGTTTTCTGAAGTCTAGTCACATGTAAGCAGCTAGTATAGTACCTGACACATAGCAAGTGTTTTACTTATTGTTTAATCACTTGCTACTTCAAGTGTGGCTCCTGGACTAGCTACAGTAGCATCACTTGGAAGCTGATTAGAAATGCAGAATCTCAGGCCCCACCCCAGACCTATAGAATCAGAATCTGTATTTTAAGAAGTTCCATCCCTAGGTGATTTGTATGCACATTTTAGTTTGGGAAGCAGTGTTGTACACCACATGTCCTAGAAGATCGTGCATTGCTCAGCTCGGGGAGATAGAGGAACACATCTCAGCAGAATCAATGAATACTATTTGTTCCATGCTCATTTTAGGCATTGGAGAGATGGAACAGAAGCGGGAATAGAGAACAGACATTAATCTTTAAAACCCCAACGTGTTTAAGGGAAGGTTAAAATTGGGGTCCGAACAACCTGCAAGTAGTGATTTTTAAGTACAGGGAAGCATCTTATAGAAGAATGGTAAGAATGTGGATTTGGACTGGCAACCCTAGAGAAGGAGTCAGGGAGTTTTATCTCCAACCCAACTTCTGGGAGAGTGAGCTTGCTCAGTCATGGAGCTCACGGAATCTATTAATTCTGAACTGCTCCGAGACTTTTAGCACAAAGATAAAGATGTATGAGAGGGTGTGTGATGTGTGTGTGTGTGTGTGTGTGTGTGTGTGTGTGTGTGCAGATGGCATGGGTGTGTGTATATGAAAAGGGGCAGGCAGAGGCAGGGAGGAAGAGAAATTGAGACAGGAAATCTCTCTCAATTATTTTCTGTCAATCATAATATGAAACATAATCCCCTTTCCACCCCTGGATTTTTCCAGGGAACATGGTGTAACGGCAGGGAAAGGGGGTAAAAAAAAGAGTGGTTCCAATAAATTAGGTTTGATTGGTGCTACTGCAAAGGAATTGCTTATGATCAACATCTCTTGGGATTGGGAGGTGGCAACCTGGAGCCCAGCTGGAGTCGGCCTGACCTGGTTGAAACCCTGGTTTTGCTTCACACTAGAGGTATGATCTTGGGAAATCGACTTTGCATCTCTGAGCCTCTGTCTCCTCAGCTATAATATGGGGATGATACAAGCTTCCTTGCCACATATTTTCCTAAGGATTCAATGCACAGAAGTGTGGCTGCACGTTACTTTCCATATAGTCCTCTCCCAGTTGAAGCATCAGACAGCCACTTTTTTCAGCACTAGGCTTTTATGTTGCAAAATAATTCACATTCTATGGTTCCAATATGGTCTGCAGTGCCTATTTCACTTTGATCTTATTAAATACCTGCTGGATTTATGGGCAAGAGGAAGAAAAAGAACAGGACAAAAAGAATGCATTCACTGAGATAAGGAGAAGAACTGAGAATGTTAAGACATGGAATTTATTTACACCCAAGGGTACTGTGAAAGAAAGGCCTGACAATCTGCCTCCATAAAGATTATAGCCCAGAAAACCCTATGGAGTAGTTGTACTCTGTAACACGGGGGGTTGCCATGAGTCAGAATCAACTCAGCGGCAAAAACAGCAACAACAAGACTTGACTTGACTCTGCTCATAAAGACTTAATGGAAACCTGTCTTGTGAAGGCGGTTACCAAGGTTAGGGGGAGATTTGTACACTGCATCCACGTATCTCTTTGGACTGAAATAGGCTGAATAGGTGAGTGTGGTTCCCCATCATAGTGAGAAGTTATGCACCTATGGGGACTCCAGGACCTGGGTTAATTTGCTATTCAAAATGGAGGGAAGAAGAACGAGGAACTCAGAGTCAGGCTGCATCTAGGCTGTTTTTATGGGTATTGTTATTCCCATTGTCCTGATATAGAGAGTGAAGTTCTAAAGCTGAAATGACTCTTCTAAGGACAAATAACTAATAAGTTGACAGCACTGAATTTAAGGGTAGGATGATGTGATTCCCAAATTTATGCTCTTTCTACTGTATAATTTTAGGAATTCAGCTCAGCATGTATGTATTGAATATCCACCATATGCAAGTCTCTGAGGGAGTTATTAGGATATTCCACAGCAGACTTTCTTTATCTTCGTGAAATCAAGAGGTGTCAAAATGACGCTAAGAAATACTTAGCATCTTCTTAGTATTAAGAAGTATTTCTAGAGAATGAGGTCATCTCCTCTCCCCCAAGCATTTTTCTGATCCAAAATCCTTCTCATTATCAACATACACTCATGGGACAGATTCTGTGCAAAGGCTTACACTACATGTTGAGAATACCAAGATAAGTCAATTCAAATAGAAGGTTCAACTGTGTGTTTGTCTGCAGTGGCAGGGAGAGAAGTCTTCATTCATTCATTCAACAGATACTGATTATCAGTAGATATACGAGAAACAGAGGCTCAGTGAGTTGTTCAAGGTCATACAGCTAAGAAGAGATGGAGCCAAAACCCTCATGGTCATAATGCTCACAGATGCTAACTCTGACTGCGTGGACTGGGAGTATGGGAAGGCTGCAGTCAGGAAGACAATTTGGGAAGCAAAGATCCATGTTTGGAGTAAAGAGAGTCCCAGAGTTGGGACAGGGGTGAGATCTGAGAAGAAGAGCTTGCCAGAATGACCCTTGCTCCTGAATTGCCAGCTTGATTCCTCTTAATAGAGCCCAGGCACCTGTGGACTCTGGCATCAAAGGATCTCTGGGTCTCTCCAATAGTGGCGACCACTGCCATTAGCAAGGAAAAAAGATTTTCCAGGGACCCATCTTCAGTGAGCTCTTCAATCCCAGTCTGTGTATAGTGATAGAGAGCACATGTTTTAGAATCAGAAGACGAGTGAAGACTTGCCTCTTCTTTTCACCAGCTTTGTTACTGTTGGAAAGTCACTTCACCTCTTTGCATTTCTATTTCTTCATGTAACATGGCTATAGGCACAGCCCTGAAGCCAATAACCTTTTGAGCATGAAGTTCTGATTCCATCAAAGATTAGCCTTAGGCCTTGAATAAGTCACTCTGATTTCAATTTTCTCATAACCATTATGGGAATACTCTGTGATACTGAGAATCTCTGTCTTAGGTACTCCACAGGGTTGGGAGGAATCAAAATGAAACGATGTGTTTGAAAGTATTTTCCAACCTCTGGTGGGCTCCAAAATAAGCAACAACGATAGTACTGATGATTCTCTGGCTCTCATTAAAGCTTAGGCATTGAGGTAATAGGGGTGTGGGACCCCACAGGTATTTCCAGAAATGATGATGGGATTACAGATTTAATGTCCAGGCTGGCCCTGTTCATTTTACCTCATCACCTCCCCACTCACCACTTTCCACAGAGCTACAGCACTGGGCCTGAGTCCTACTTCATTGCTTCCCTTAAAAGGTGAAATAGCTTGAGACTGACATCATCCTGAAATACTATAACATGATATGGATTTATAGGCTTCCATATTCCTGGTCCTGTGCCAGTCACTGAAATTTGTGGAATTATCAGGAGTATTTTTCTCTAAGTTTAAAAGCCTGCTGTTCATCCCTTCTAAAACTCTGATCATGGCCCTTCCAGTTGCTTTTCCAATAGGACAGAACTGAGGACAGTCCACCGAGGCCATCTAGTCTAACTTGCTTGCTTAAACTCCGGAGAAATTGAGACTTCAGAAAAGAAAGAGACTTGGCTGTAAAATCATACTGCTAAGTAAAGTCACAGCTGAGAACAATCATGTGTCTTTGCTCCTGGTCCAGTGTGATTCCCACACATCACAATAGATATGTGGTATAAGCTGATCATCTTCAAGTATGCATAAGTTGTACTTTCTCTTCTGCCCTGTCTATCTACCTACCTATCTATCTATCCATCCATAATCTATCATAGGGTTTCTCAACCTCAGCACTTTTGACATTTTGCACTGGATAATCCTTTGTTGTGGGGGGCTGTCCTGTGCATTGCAGAATTTCTGGCGTCTACCCACTAGATGACAGTACCTTGCCCCCATTTGTAACAACCAAAAAGGTCTCCAGACATTGCCAAATGTCTCCTAGGGGGTAAAATCCACCCAGTTGAGAACCACTATATATTTATCTTTATGTCTGTCCCTATTTATTCACACAACCACGCACATGCACGCACACATGCACACACATACAACTGGTTTTGCTCTCTTAAAAACAATTGGAAAATGAGAGTAGTCTGGAGGAAAGTAAGTCTAAGGTTTAATTCTGCGCAACTTCATCACTTGAAGTTCTGCAGAATCTGTGATCTCCAAGATATTGTAGATTTAGAGTAGCTACTGGACTCTAGGTGTATCACTGGGAGACCAAGCTGGCCTGATGATACCTCCAGCACTGTTATTTGCTCAGCCCTAACATTCTCAGATGAAGATGTTCACTGAGTCACAATTATTCATTGTTGAAAATATTGGGAAAGCTCCACCAAGAGGAGAATGGTTAAATAAATTATAGTGTCCTCACTCAATGGAATATTATGTGACCATTAAAAATTTCATCTTTAGAAAGATGGAAATAATCCAGAAAAGTGCTTCTCTGTTATGATGGTAAGTGAAACATATTGGATAAGAAGTAATTGTAATGATTTCTGCAACATGGAAAAATGTTGATAGCATGATATTAAGTGAAAAAAGCACACAAAATTGCATCTATGCTATGATTTCAGATATGTACAAATAAAAAAAAATACATGTCTACATATAGATGTGTACTGGAAGAGAGCATGGAAAAATCAAAATTAAAGAGCTACAATGTTTGGTTACAGAGCCTGGTTCAGAAACCGTTGTCATTTCTGACTTTTGGTGATTGGTTTGTATAAACATGTATCTTGTTTATGGATATGCATAATTTGAATGCAAAAAATGTTACTGGTGTTTTTGGTGGGTGGAACAAGGAGGAACAAACAGTTCTTACAAATTCACTTCTCTTGCCTTTTTGGTGTCTTTGAAGTCAACCCATGCAAGGACAATGTGATTCCCAGGCTGAGGAGATATTTGCACAAACTGGGAGGCAGGCGTACAAGAAGAAAGCAATCAATAGACAGAGTTAGAAACTTGAGTTTCAATTGTGGCTCTGCCACTGATTTGTGTGTGAGCTTAGATAAGCCCCATTCCTTCTCTGGGCCTCAGTTTCCCCATTGGTAAAACAGGGTTAATGATGTGTTATTTTCTTCAGAACATTGCTTGGCGGTCAAAATGAGATAAGGAATGCTAAAGAGTTGTGTAAATTGGAAAGTAAGAAAGGAGTTGTTCGCCATCACCACTACCACCACCACTATCGTTATCATCATGATCATCACTACTAAATTTATTACTGAACTACTCCAAGATCCCCCTGAAGAAGTCTCTAAGACTCACCTAAGTGCATTAGGACCTCCTTGTCCCATGGCCAAGTTGCTACTCCTGCGAACTCCTCTTGTGAGGAGTTTGCAAAGAAGATGTTGAGGTGTGTTGATCCATCCAATCTAAGTATGTTCTTCAGTTCATCAATATCCAAGTAGGCTCTGAAATAGAAAAGGAAACTTGTCTGTTATCACTGTCCAAAAAAGCTACCATTCAAATCACGGGTACTTTCCAAATAAGTAAGACCTATCAGGTGGCAGGCATAAAACGTCACCATATAATATTACAACGTAAGTGGGATGATCCCATTTTACAGATAAGAAAATTAAGTTCTTGTGAGTTTGACTTGCCAAGAGTTAAGTTTTGAACCTATATTTATCTAATATCAGTATCCGTGCACCTAAGGAATCTGCTATACTGTCTGAGGACAGGGCTGAATAATGAGGGTATAGGTCAAGAGCACAGACAATGGAAGAGAAAATGTGTATTCTAATCTTGGCTTCTTCCCTCCTTCACTCATTCTCCATGGACCTTGGACCGTTTATTTGGCAAATACAAGAGCTTCACTAGGAAAGCTGCTTTCTGTCATTATATTAACCTTGCAAAGAGGCATTATTACTACATTTTCAAGATGAGCAACACATGGTCGGATGTTATTAAATAGGTTTCCCAAAGTTTCAGAGCTGATGTTCGAGGTGAGTTCTGTCTAGCTCAGAAACCTATGTTCTTTTCACTGGGGTATCATGCTGCCTCCATCGATGATTCTGTATTCTGTAAGCCTCTATTTCTTTATCTGTAAAACAGGATAGAGGGGATATTGTGATTTGGGGTAGCTGCTATGCTAGACCCACATATCTGGAAAGTGAATTAACTCCCTATGTTACAATCAACAATTCTTTAATACATGGAACAGATCCACTTTGGAAAGAGTAAGAAATGGTCTATGTAAAGAGAATGGCATATCCTAGGTGCTCAATGAACATGAGCTCTTCCCTTTCAGGGTTAGGACTCTCCAATCAGAACAGAAACAGTAAATGTGAGGGACTGCCTTCTGCTTTGGATCAGTCATAGGTTTATTATTCGATGACTCATTTTCTAAACAGAGAGCAGTACTTGCTCTCTTCTTGTGCTTCTTTCAGCCCCCATTTTGTGTTTGCCATGATGTACTTTAGGGATCTTCGTGAGCAGCTATTAATCATTCTTGAGTAAAGCAGGAAATGAATCAATTAATATAACAGTGAAAACATAAATAAGCAAGCAGGCAGTAGATGAGATAAATTCTATGTAAACAATGAGATCTAATATTTGTTGGGCCCATCCATGTGGCCAGACTGCATGGACTAACTTTTTTAATCCTCTTAAAGTGGCACAAATGGTTAAGTGCTTGGCTGCTAATCAAAAGGTTAGAGGTTCAAACCCACCCAGCGGCTCCATAAGAAAAAGGCCTAGTGATCTGCTTTCGTAAGGATTACAGCCAAGAAAACCCTATGGGGCAGTTCTACTCTGTTACATGGCGTTGCTATGAGTTGGAATTGACTCGACAGCACCCAACAATGACAATAACAACAACTTTCTTAATAACTCTGTGAAGTTGCTATTGTTAGCTGCCATCACATCGGCCCCCGACTCATGGAGACCCCAAGCACATCAGAATGAACCACTGCCTGGTCCTCATTTTCCAGAGAAGTAAGGGAGGCTTAAAGAACCTGCAGATCTTGTGTAACTAGTTGGTGGTATTTTTCTTTTCATAATGTTGTCTCCATGGTGGCAGTGTTCGTACAGAGCCTGGCCAGTAGCACACATTAATGATGTCGCCCTTCCTTTTCTCTCTAGAAGTAATAGAAGGGCTTCCCTATGCGTGTAAGAGTGAGGTCCAAGGTCTCCAGCATGACCTGCAAGGCCCTGCTTTCCCATCAGCCTCATCTCCCTTGGATTCCCCTCTTGTGCTTCCCACTGTGTGCCAGCAACATCACTGCACCCACCATGCTGGGTCATCTGTCTTGCCTGTACTCATGCTATTCCCTCTTTTGGGGACTCTGTTCCCATTCTGTCTATCTGATGAACAAATCCAAACCCATCTGGCATCAATCCTCTGAGAAGACATCCCTGATTTCCACCTCATCTCCAGCCCCCTTATCACCTCTGTACTGGTCCACCTCCTATTAGCGCACGTTCTCACACCATTCTAATCAATCACTTTGCCTGTCTATATCTGCCACTCTTCTGTTACAGTTCTACTCTGTCACATGGGGTCGCTATGAGTTGAAATCAACTCGATGGCACCAAATAACAATATATATAAAGTGCTTAGAATAATGCTTGGCATGTAGAAAATCTTTAATAGATATTTAAAACCAGTTGCAATCAAGTTGATTCTGACTCATGTATGTCAGAGGAGAACTGTGCTCCATAGGGTTTTCAATGGCTGATTTTTCAGAAGTGGATTGTCAGGCCTTTGTTCCGAGGTGCATCTGGGTTGGACTCAAACTTTCAACCTTTTGGTTAGCAGCCAAGCACGTTAACCATTTGCACCACCCAGGGACTAATAAACATTTAGCTAGTTCTTTTATTTATCCTCATCATACAGAGGTTCAGAAATCACACCACTAGTGACAAGGCCAAACGCAATCCTAGATGTATCCAACTCTTTCTACAACCTCACCCTTATTTCCAGGCTCATCCAGTGAAAAGGGAAACAATGTGTGGGAGGGGAATGAAAACACAGAGGAGCAGAGATTTTCTTGGATCAGCCCTTCCACATTATTTGTTATTTCCTAATTGATTTGTCCATTTCCATCAAGCGTTCTCTCAGCAGAGAACACAAATGTCATTAGAGAAGTCACCTCTTTGCCCTATTCCTCCGGGATGTGAGAGCTTCATAAGAGGAAGAGATGGGTGGGTAGGGGCGGGGGAGTTGTTTTAATTGGATGTTTATTCAGTTGTAATTGTAAAAGCCAATCTTGTCAGGGAGTGGAATTCCTCCTAGCCCAAAGCAGAGACGTAGGATGTTGGAGCTGCTCCCTTGCTTGTATGTGGGTTTTTTTTCATACTTTGGGAAGCCTCTGGTTCCCAAAGGAAATCCAAGGCAGCCAGTCAGTCCCCCAGCCCCATTGCACTCTCTCCTCCCCATCTCTCTTGGGGGTACCTACCGGGAGAAAACAGCTCTGTGGCTACAAGTTTTTCTTCTGTTAGCTGAAGTCTTCTCACCAATACAGTGCCAAGCTAGGTGTCTCCCAAATGTACCAGGGGGGAAACTCTGGGGACAGGAGTCCACATGGCTATCTTCCTCTCTCCTCCTATCCCCTTAAGTTAATGTTTATACTCTTCTGTCAATGGCTGGAGCGGGAAGCACAGCAGGTCAAAATTACAAGGACTGTCCCATACAGACTAAGGGGATTGATGATGAGAAAAGGAAAAGGACTTTCCCAGGGCCACCAGGCTTTATATTTTGCAACCGTAGGAAGGCTGGTCTGCGTCTATATTGTAAATTGGTCGAATTTATTTTTAAAAATCATAGCCTTCTACCAGGAAAATCAGTTCTTTGCCAAAACTCTGTGTGTTTATTAATTTATGTGCCACTACCATTCGGAGTCTAACAGACAGACCTGTGTCCAGTCTCAGTTAGTTACGAGGATACTGGCAGGATTAAAGGAGACAATCAGGCAGAGTCCCAACACACAGTCAGAAACTGTGAGCTTTGAGAGCCCTCCCCTCTCTATCCTAGCCCCCTATTTTCTCCTACTGGGAAAGATGTTGAACTGACCGTCTGCCTCTGTGGGGCTCCTCCCAGTCTCAGCTCTTAGAGTCTCTTCCCCACCACCCAGCCTTCTTCCTCTGCCTGCCACCCCAATACTCAAGTTCTCATGGTTTCCTCATTCCGAAAAACCTTGGCTTTCCCCATCCATCCTGTACCCCAATGATGCCCATTCCCTAAGCATGTCCATCAGTTTCCCTCCTCTACCTTACAATCCCTCTTTCTGGATCTCAACCTTTTAAAATCTTACCCTGCCTGAAAAGTCCAGCTTACATGTGATGGAGTCCATGTACCACCCTCATTTGTAAAATGGAGATGATGCTGCTCACCTCTCAGGACTGTTGAGGGGATTAGAGGTGATGCAGATAGAGTGTTTGGCATGGTGCCTGGCACATACAAGGCACTCACTAATCAGCACAGAATATTGTTATAGCATTATTATTATTACAATGATAATCTATTAGCAATACCAAAATCATTATCACCATTTCTAGCTGAAAATGATTTCTCCCTCCTGTGTGCCCCTACTTTTGATTCAAATACTTATCACCTTGCTTTGTGTTACCTTAACTATGTAAGCATCTGCACTCTCCATTAGGCTATGAGCTTCTAGCAGGTGGGTGCCAAGCCTTTATCATATCTGTGTCCTCTGAAACTTCCCTCCAAGGGAGAGAGCGACCACTGATTGGCAGGTACTGAGCACCTCTCTCTTACACTGCATAATCTCAAAGCAGGACAGGTTTATAGATGAGGAAGCCCAGGGCTCGGGGAAGTGAAATGACTTGCCCAATGTCACATAACAAATAAGGGGCAAAGAAGGGCCTGGCAATGAACCTTTATGCACTAGCCTGTGTACAGCAGCACTTTTGTACCAATTAGGAAAATTGCCTCTTCCTTCAGGTGGACATAGTTTCCCACAAGGATGCATAGTTTGGAGAGACAATCATGGGAGGGACTGCAACTCCCCTCATTCCCTCATCTGGCTGCCCCAGTGCAGAAACTGAACTGCTGGAATTCCTGAACTCTTCCCACTACTGTCTGCTCTGCAGCTCAGGGTCTCCATCTGTTCGAGGAGTCTGTGAACTAGATCAGTGTTTTCTAAGTCATGATCTATGCTAAATCCACAAGATGCAGATGAATATTCAAAGGAAAAGAGCTTCCAAGTCAAATGGGTTTAGGACATGCTGTGTTAAACAAGGTTAAATGTATATACATATGTGTATATCGATATATACACACACATACACATACATACACTTTTTATATACATATATATGTACACTTTTTTAATTGCAATAATTTTCAGAGTCTTTAATATGCAAAACAGGAGTAGGGCAGATAGTGTATGAATGCTTCCCTAACATATCTGGCCATAATCTTCCCACCCCTCCATGTTTGCCAAAAATC